ATGATTCTTGTCTCTCCAAATCAGGTGAAGCTTTGGAATGTAACATCTGGCTAGAGAGGCAGCAAAGCAATAAGGAGGAATATTACAAATGTAATGAATGTGGAAAGGCCTTCTATGGGAGCGTAAGACTTACTGAACATCAGAAAGTTCATTCTGGAGAGAAACCTTATGGATGTAAGGAATGTGGGAAGGCCTTCCATCATAGGATGGAACTTACTGGACATCAGAAAATTCATACTGGTGAGAAAACATGAATGTAAAGAATGTGGGAAATCCTTCCCCCTCAGAGCACTGCTCTTATTCTACACCAGAGAGTTCATACCAGAGAGAAGCCTTATGAATGTAAACGATGTGGGAAGGCCTTCCGATAGAACATACGCTGGACCTGCCGTCAGAAAATTCACACTGGAGAAAAGCCTTCCATATGTCCTAAATGTGGAAAATCCTTCAACTGCAACTCATCCCTTACCTCCCATTACAGAGTTCATCTTGGTGACAGACCTTTTGGATGTAAGGAATGTGGGAAGGCCTTTCGCCAGAGCACACAGCTTACTTGACATCAGAAAATTCATACTGGAAAAAAACCTTATGAATATAATGAATGTGGGAAGGCTTTCCATAGGAGCACAATACTTACTCAACATCAGAGAATGCATACTGGAGAGAAACCTTATGGATGTACTGAGTGTAGGAAGGGCTTCCATCAGAGGACAGGACTTTCTGCTCATCAGAGAATTCATACTGGTGAGAAGCCATATGAATGTAATGAACGTGGAAAGTCCTTTTGCTGGAGCACAGGACTGACTCAACATTATCAGACAATTCATGGTGGAGAGAAATCACATGAACATGAGAATACCTTCTGTCAGAAAATAAGATTTATTTGACATGATAATTTGTACTGTTATAAACAAATGCATGTAATATTTGTTGTAAAGTTTTCTTTCCTCAAGAACACATAATTTAATCATCAAAGAATTCACAATGGAAGGAAATCTTATGGATATAGAAGGCTACGAAAGCATTGGTGAGTTTGCTTACTCATCATCTGTGCCCATAGTTAGGAAAACAGAACACCTCCAAATGCCTGTCTTTATCCAAAAAAATTAAAGGTCCATCAGAGAGGGACATTACTGCATGATAGGAAACAGATCTTTTAGTTAGGAAAGATATGCTGTCCTCTCTTTCCAAAACAGGAAATGTAATTTTTTCTCTTTGAAAAATCATATCTGAAATGGTTTTTATAAGCTTGAGGTAAATATTAAAACATTTTAAAACAAGTCCTGGCACCATTTACTATGTTTCAGATCTAGAGTTTAAATATTTCTTCTTTTCTTCTTTCTTTCTCTTTTTTCTTTCTTTCTCTCTCTCTCTTTCTTTCTTCCTCCCTTCCTTCCTTTCTCTTTCTTTCTTTCTTTCTTTCTTTCTTTCTTTCTTTCTTTCTTTCT